TGAAAAATACAACCGTAGGTTATATCTTCACTTTGTGAAATTCAATTCATCTAGCTTTTCCTTGGCAGTGTGACTTGAATTGTGAAATCCCGTCTCAACCGATATCTATCTCTATCATAGGAGTAAGCAATTTTGACTCCGACGGTAGCTCTCAACTACAAGTAATTCAAATTTTGAAAAACTTCGCTAATAGACTGTTAGGAACGCTTAGAGAACTTAACAACCCTGACTGACATACAACTTAAAATAAATTCACAATTTGTGGTCCAACCGCTTCACCTATATTCGACTCATTCGACTTTAGCAAACCTCAATGCCTAACGACAACCGATGAGTAATATATTAAATTCGGCGATTTATTTTAGGTGACTAAGTATTACTTTCGATGTTTGTTAAATAGCGGAACGAAATTTTGTTTCTATTCTTCAAACAATGAACTCATGTTATCTGCCCACCACTAATTTTTTCCCTTGACGATGTTTTATTTCCGATTAGACTAGTCAATGTTGGGTTATCAGATCTTGCACAAATTTAATGACGTCATGCTGCGTCACATTACCAAAAGAATCTCAAGTCTGAGACAATATGCTTGATCAGACTTCAAAGTTGTTTTTATTATACCTAAATATGATGACGTCATAACTGATGACGCCATTTGTCTCCATGCTTAATTCCAAGACAATACGCCTCAAGACTCTTGAGAACCCGTGTTTTCCGGACGGGCTACCTGATATGGCCTAACTTGGCAGGAAAGTACAATCCTTCCCTTTCAAAATATCTGGCTACGACCATGGGTAATGATGAACAAAATGTAGAAAGAATCAAAGAAAACACATTAGATAATTTGTGGTAGCGCAATAACCTATCCTAACCAAAGATAAACAGTCAAATTAAAAAATTTGTGATGAAGCGATAAAAGATAATACCCCTAAAATATAAAAGTAAAATTAATTGAGCGCGGAATGTAAACACAGCCATATGTTCACATACCGAATAAATACTAAATACTTAAATCAACTTTAATTTTCTTAAAACCACTCCTATTATAAAAAGATCAAAAATGAAAGTCGAATCACATGACGAGACCAAAATTTGCCCTCAGGTTACCTTTGATTGCCTGCGCGGCATGCTTGAGTGCGTTCGCACCGAAAGTCATGTGATGATTCAAAACCACGTGATTGAAGTCATGTGAGACGTCTTGAAATTCCGCCAAGTCATGGGAATTTGAATTGATTGGGAAAGGTCGCGAAAATGTCTTGAATTGGAAATTAATAAACAGTTTTTGTCTGACTTGGACTGAAATTATTGGTTTGTCGGACAAAATTGGATTGGATCATATATATTCATTACTATTCTAACCTACTGCCTACACATGGAAACCCAATAGCCTTCCATGTAAAAAAAACTTTAAATACTGACCTTTAAATCCATCCATATTCGAAACCCGCTGTCTATATTCGAGCCTATTAATTATCTACGAAGAAGAAAATTGAAATGGTGAGTGGTAGCTTTATCAAAATCAGGAAAAAAAAGTTGTGGAAACATTAAAGCAATAAAACGATCATTGGCATCTATTACTAGTACTCCCCAAATGAGTCAAAGTCCCTTTTCCGCACTTGGTATCGGGCCGCGATGTGCCATCGTGACAAACAGTTCGGAAAAGTCATTTCCGATCAAAATGACTTAATCATATTTTCTCGTGACAAGCAAAAATAAAGCTATTGATCAAGAATTTTGGCTTGGAATTTGCGCAATTTTTAATTTTTTAAATACGTAATGGCGTGTCTATGCAAGATTCCATTTCAAGTTCTGTTCAAAATTGTCATGAGTTTCTTAAAATACAAACAGATCTTATACTTGGTAATGGACTAGCACATAACGTTATTGATCACAAATTTTGACCAGTAAGGTCTTGAACATGTATCCCGTCTCTGTTACACTGTTTAATTATTATGCAGATACTGTTACATTTTTGAGGCAAATAAACATACATACATTTTGAAGAAAATTTAGAATTTAACTCTTTAATTTTAAAAACATAATGCCTGACTTATTTTCATTTTGAAAAGATAAATTTAAAAAATTTGATTCAATTTCAATGTTTTTTTTTATTTAACAAAAAATTCCTAATAGTCATAGCAGAATAACCCCCCAAAAAAGTCTTATTTTGAAATTTCTTATTGACTGACAGAAATAACATTTTATACACAATTGTGACCTGGTATCTGACGCACACTTTGAAACTGAACAAGGCTTCGGACCAGTGATTACCTGACACCCCCACACTATAATTTGAGTATTTTGAAATTCTTAAATTTGGAAACACTCCCCCCCCCCCCCTGAAATTAAAATCTGGGGAACATACTGCTACGGACTCGCAATTGCATGATATCGTTGTATTAAAATTCCAAATTTGAATGACCAAAAATTGGTGAATTTTGAGATATTTCTTTCTAATTCTCGAAATTTTCTTTTTATGAAGCTGTACGAATTAATTCAAATATTGTGTCACTAAATAAAATTTTTGTTACGCTTCTATCTACCATCGCATCGCCGCTCAAATACAATATTGAATAATATTATTGTCGTCTGCTTGTTGTTTACAAGTTCTGTTACGTCATAATCGTTTATAATTTCGAAAACAATTTCATTCGGCAAGTCTGATGTAATGTTACAGCAACATTAACCAGGTTAATTATAGGAAAGATATGCGTGCAGTTTAATAGTAGTGACATGTTACAGTTTATAACAGCTTAGCTAAGAAAGTTTGAACCTCAGGCGATGTTACGGACGCGTCATACAACGGCAAAATCGTAAATAAATTTTAGTTTCTTTTGTAACGTTACATCACCATAAATAGGATATTTGTTCAAAACAATGCGACTTGCTCAAAGCTAGGTCACTTGCACTCAATAAAAAGTGAATTAGACTCATCTACAGAATTAATTCACGTAACCACTGGTCGGTTAAGGCTTATTTACCTCCATATTGGTACACATACTTCAGAAGCGCCAAATTGACAGCTTATCCGAAGCCATTTTAGATCGGATTGTACTATCAGTACATTCATCTTTATATCGGGAAAAAGAAATCCGAGTCACAGATAGGCTTTCTGTGGCATTTTCGAAGAAGATTCATTATTCTTGCAAGTGGTAAGCAGGCAACTACTGTCCACTTCAATGTTTCTTCTTCTTTTTTTTGTCCCGAGATACCGACGCTCAGTCCGCGAGGCCTGTCCGCTTGTTTGTCGTCATTTGAGAAACAAATCTCAAACACAGAAGCGGTGGAGTACGATTGAGACTGCTAATGCGGCCAATTCAGTCGCAACTTCGATTCCTGTCCCGCGTAACACTCCGAAGAAGCTCGCGGAACATGATTTGATAAACGCTGGTCTACTCTATATACAGCAGCACTTCCTTGTATCTAACGATCTGGTCTGCGTTTACTCTAGTATTTGATTATGAACAATATGGCAACAGTCATAACACGATCAGTGCTTCATTCAGAACAAGCCTGCATTGGCCACGCCTACTTTATGTCATTAACCAATCACAACAAACATGCTTAAGAACGCTCTGGAATGATTTAAAAAGGAAAATGAATTGCAAGTCGTGACATCTCAAGAATTGGTTTACTCCCACGTATGCATGACTAAGCGATAATTCCACACGGAAGAGCTTCCTGCTTAGTCATTAATCTTAGGTTAACTAAATGTCGACAATGTTTTGAGTAGGATGGGAAAATTATTAATATAATTGAGACACGTATAATTAAAAAAATTCAGTTTTTTCAATTCGTATTTCGGTGCCAAAATGATTGTGATTCTGCCAAAATGTTCGCATTTGTCATATAAAAATGTTTCCATGAATTAGAACACTGGTTCTCCACCAGTGGGCCATGGCCCACTGTTGGGCCACAGTAATATTTTGAGGCGGGCCACAGAACTATGCCAGTTTTATTTAAGTCACAATAGAAATCAATGACGATGATGTTGTCTGCTACTGAGATATAATTCCCATTCTAATCATAAACGTTTAAGTGTCCATTTTCACAGAAAGATCTTGTTTTTTTTTTAGTTTTCCCCTTGCAATAAAAAGTTAATGGGCCACAAGACCTTTTGTTGCAACAAAAATGGGCCACGAACGAAAAAAGATTAAGAACCATTGAATTAGAATGAAACAAAAAAAAATTGTTGAAATACTGAGCCCATAAGAGTCAGAAAAAGGTTCAAAACTACAATAGTTACGTCTACTTTCATTTTTAAGTGCATTAATTGCGATCAAATATCGACAACCAAGAACTGGAACAAAAATTTAGAAAAAAGGGTGAAATACCGAGGCTCCTAGGATTTAGAAAAGGCTCAATGCAATAGTTTTGAGGTGGTGAAAATTTCCATCTTTCCATTAGTTGTAAAATATTCGACAACTAATAACAGAAACGAAAATTTAGGAAAACGATGCTTACGTGTACGGTTATCAAGTAGTAGCCTATCATCTTAAACCTCTCTACCAATGTTTGTGACATGAGAACTGTTGCAAATTAATCGTATCTTCCCTTCAGTCAGTGATAATTTATTGAAAACTACTTTCAGATAATATAGAATGCCTGTTTCATTATTATAACTGCCCATAAATAGGGCACCAAAATCTTAAGTGCTTATGGACTCTAAAGACCTTGTGCATATCCCTCCTTTATGCCAGTATTTCCCGACCTTTTTATGATACATTGTTTTCCTTGGCTATTTTGACACTTCTCTTCCCCCCTTACATGCATAGATACTTTTCGTCGTCCAGTTTTCAGTGGTTCATCAGCTTGCTATTAACGCAATGTACCCTCCCTACTGTTCTATATCTCACAATAGTACATTCACAACTAAAGCGCTGAGTGCTTTAAATCGTTATCGAATGACTGTAAAGTTTCTGACATAGTTCGTGCAGTACCGAGACATACCGGAAATTACGCAATACCGGCTGTAATAAAGATTTATTGATACATTTCAAGCAATACTACGTAATTGTTGACACACATATATTCATAACACAAAAGAAGTTCGTAGTCGACATAAAATTATACGCGCATAAAATTAATACTTTTTTGGCTTTAGGCAGAATTCAAGTCATCAGAAAACTTTAATATAGTAAAATGTCTAGGTACGTATTCTATTATTGCCCCACCAATGATAGAGAGGGCGACGATCTTTCGCTGATTGCCAGTGTGGTCGATAGGGGCGTAGCGAGTAATTTTCAAAGGGAGGAGGGGGGTATGAAATTCAGCGGGTCCGAAAATTCAAATTGTGTGTTTTCAAGAGTCTTGAGGGTTTAAAAAGCGTTTCAAGCAACGAAAATTTGCTAAAAATGCCTTTTTAGCATTTCAAAAAGGCGGGGGGGGGGGGGGGGTCCGAACTCCAATTCACTCATAAAAAAGTCAGTTTTCTATTTAACGGGCCTGGTTGTATGAAACTTTTTTTGTAGTTGGGCGATTATATTCGTAGCGTTAAAAAAAATAGGAAGACTGTCGATTAGAAATTTATTTGAGTTGACCTGGATCCTCGTTCAAGGTTATTTAAGTCCACCATGCTGACAGCCGCATACAGGTTCATCTTCGGCCTAAAATATGAATACAGAATCAAAAGAAATTTCTAGAAAACGAAACAGGTGTAATTATCATATTGGCGCAGTAAATTCCAGGTGAGTAGCAAGAAATTTTCAAAGGGGAGAAGGGGCAGAAATTTATATTTGCCAATTTAGATCGAGACAGATAGCGGGTCCGGACGAACGCCGGAAAACTTGTGTTTTCATGAGTCTTGAGGGTCTAAAAAACGTGCCAAGCTATGAAAAGTTGTTATGTATGATACAGAAAGATGCTTTAATTTTTTTTTACATTTCAAAAGGGGGGAGAGGGGGTTCGACCCCCGAAACCACCCCTCTGGTAAATTCAAAAGTAGCGTTTTTACTTTCTTCTAAATGTGGACTCTTTTGATTTATTGTCATTAGGATTAGAACATACATATTTATCCCGGGGACGAGCCTATGAGACATTTTAATCATATGGCGAATCACGGCATTACTGCTTTGTGGCCCCCTTAGTGGGCCACGGGCCCCGACAGGGAACCACTGCTATAGTAGCTCCTTGGCCCGCGATGGCTATTTATAGAGTATCTTGTTCGGAGCGAGAAGCGTATAAAAAACGCGTATAATCGATAAAACCCTTTCTCCTCACTATTCTGGCCAGTGACGCATCAATGATTTTCGGTGTGTAAATGATTCTGACTGGTTACGCTTACCCTGTCAGCAAATTGGTTAACACCCTGATAATATGTAGATTCCCCGGCATCTGCTAATTTGGTATGTTCTTCAATCTTCGCCTTGTTCTGCAACCAAATGTTATGCCGTCTCTCCTCTTCTTCGGCGCTATCATACTTTTTGTCTGTGACGTAACAAAGAGTTGAAAGTTTTATTTATGTTCACAAAGGTTAAGTAATCGGGGGTTTCTGTTAATTCGAATGTGATACCGTGTCGGCACTTATTTTCCGAGGGTGTGTTTTTTTTATTATATTTTACGTTTTTGACACATACGATGCGTTCAGTACGGAAACGGGTACATTTTTATGTCAGTATTGGTCATAGCAAAGTCTCGGATTCTTTTCTTAACTAAAAGTAGAAATAGTAGTGAAAAAAGATTTGCAAATGTAGTCTGAGTAAGGTACCGGTAACTTAATTAATGTAAAAATAGTACTAATAGAAACGTTGTCGGTTGGTGTACTGATAGTTGCAAGTTTTCTCAAAGCAAGAAACCTATAGCGCTCAGCTAAAAGTGAGAAGCGTACTGATTGAAAAGGTAGGCTACAAGTTTACAATAGAACCAGGTGCGTAGCCAGAAATTTACAAAGGGAGGGGGAGGGTCTGAAATTTATATTTGCTGAGATAGATCGTAACAGCTAGCGGTCCCGCCGAACGCCGGAAAACTTGTGTTTTCATGAGTCTTGACGGTCTAAAAGCGTTTAAACCTACGGAAAATTGATATGTACGATACAGAAAGATGCTTTTATTTTTTTTACATTTCAAAAGGGGGGGTTTCGACCCCCAAAACCACCCCCCTGAATAGGACAGTTACAAACACCACTAAATGTGGAAAAAGTAAGCGAAATAACAGGCACCACTGAACTACCAAGTGCTACTCAAACTATAGATTCATGGTGGACTAAAAAGTTGAAGCAGGTCAAGTCAATGCGGTCAGGAAAACCTTCAAAAAATCTCACCAAACTTCACTTTCCATGCTTGCCAGTTTTTTTCCCATCCCTCCACTTTAGGCTTGTTTGACATGATAGCAACGGAACGACTTCTAAGACTCAGAAAATTATCAATATAGTGTAACTAGACATAGAAATAGTTTATTTCAATATTTCCGAAAAAAAAAACGCACAAATTTGGGGCGCTCCGGAGGTATGTGCACCAAGATGGCGCACAACCTGATAACCCTAACCTGGTACACATACTATGTTCAGGTTGTGCGTCATCTTGGTGCACATACTCCGGGAGCCCACAGATTTGGAAAATACTTGGGAATCGGATAAATCTAAATGTGAGATTCGGGGGATTCGTGAGAATCCCTTTTCTTATGCGCCCGTGAATAGGTGTCCAAACACTGTTTGTGAATATTATTGCTGACTGAGGTCAAGTACCGTGTTTCCCCAAAAATAAGAATGGCGCTCCCGAGATATGTGTGCCAAGATGGCGCACAACCTGAACTGTAATCTGGTACAAATACTATGTTCAGGTTGTGCGCCATCTTGGTACACATACTTCTGGAGCTTCCGAAAAATAACACTAGGGCCTATTTTCGGGGGATGTCTTATATTTTCATTTATCAAAAACAAAATTACAAAGAAGAGAATAACGAGATTTCCAAATATGCAAAAATATTAAAACCGACATACATTTACGTTCAATCAGCACGTTTTTATTCGAAATAACTGCAAAACATAGATTAATTATCAATCATCAAAACGTGTAGGAGAGATTTCTTGCTATCGGCTAGGTCAAAAACAAAATTTAGCGTTATTGACTAGGTCTTATTTTGAAGAGAGGGCGTATATTGAAATCCTTTTTAAAATTCAGGTTAAGTCTCATTTTCAGGGTAGGTCTTATTTTCCGGGAAACACGGTATGTGCCGAAACTGGGAGCCCCGGGAAAATAACATGATAATACTTTCATAAGTAGCTGACTATTTTTAGAGGGTATTGGCCTCCAAAGCCACGAATTAGAGGAGATTGAGCCCAGTTAAGAGTGAGCTACCATCCTTGGATCTTTTCAAACTCACATTTCAAGATGTGATATTCCAGAAAAACACCCACGTTTTAAATAACAAATTAGTAATTATTTAGTTGGGTTTAGGTAGGAATGATTGAAAAATTTGAATTTCCGGTGCAATCGGCATTTTGTAACCCTAACTGGATAATTACCAATTTTTAGCGTTTACGGGGTGTTTTTTCGGCATGGCTTAGTACGAAAGATCTACCTCTCCCGGTATCAGTGTCATATTTTACTCCTGTTTACTGGTAGCTCATTAATTTAACGCCAAGGGGCCCACGAAGACCAAGCAATGCATACTCGCCGCACTTTTAAAAATATAATCCAGAGGTTTTCAAGTTATTTTATAAAAAAAATTTGCAAAACAAGCTTACGCGCAATAAACCAAAATTAAATTAGACTGATTTCTTAACAAAGATACGGAATACCACTGAATTGGCCTAAAGCTTCCGACACTACAGATAATTTTAGCGAAGTACTACGCTTTAATAAAGACCGATCGGTGTTCCGGTACGATACAAAAAGTCTCAGAGGCAACACCGAAAAGTAATCTTAGCATATTGGAAGCTCCATATTTATACCCTACATAGTAAATTAACTAAATAACACAATATCTCCAAGAAGACGAATATGTGTCACTTCAACTTGTTTTAAGCTCACTAGCTAATATATTACACAATATCGTGCTGGTAAACAATTATTAAAACAAACAGCTGTACTGTATCGAGTAATGTTTACTGTGACCTGTAAATTGAGAGAGAATTCGAGAGAACAGTCAACCGTGCAATAAACATTTGTGACGCCAATGACATTAAACAACATGATGCGCAACTCCGGCATTTTTGTCCGAAGATCGTATTCGATAGCACGCTCCAATGCACATACTTGACGAGACGAAAACGAGCGGATGTGTGCTGCTTACAAGGCGTAGCACGAATGGTGTTCGTGCCTGCTTTGACAGTTGTTGTCGATTTTAATGATATTTTAGAAAGTTGAGGTAAAAAGAAATCGGAAAAAAGGTAAGGTAAATACTATCGTTGTATATCACACCCGGGCATCGCACTGTTAAGTACATGTGGGAAAGCCAGCCTTTGACAAATACTACGAAGTTATTAATTCAGTACGGTACGTAGTTGCCCATTTGCCTTAATTACATATTTACTTACCCCTTACAGTTTCAAATAGTTCGTGCACCTCCAGTTAGATTTTTTTAATCAGTGAGGATATATACTCATTGTTGATTGCTGCTTATTGTAACATACTATTGCGCATTTTCTTTTATTTGCGTATTGAATCAAAGTGTTAACAAGTTCACCTAACATTTCACTCGTACCGGTCTATATTGTATAGTCTGATCTCTCAAGTATTTGGAGCCACGAATGCTTGTAATTTTCTGACTAAACCCTTTTATTAGTTGGTTTATATACCAAATTCAGTGAAATATTTTTTACATAAAACATGAGATATTGGATTTATTAGCTTTTCCATTCTAAATCATATAGACTGCTTTATTTATTCTTAACGATAATTAATAAATCTCCTCTCTTTCTTCAGATGTGAAAGTTGTGGACAAACCTGTCTAAGCATTGTGAGACTCCTGCAGCACAAGAGGCAATAGCAGAAATAATAAGTATATCAATCAAGAAATTAAGCCGACATAAAGCAAAACTTTCAACTATTCGTCTAATCTCAATTTCCTATTATTTATTCACAGGACAACTATAGCAGAAGGGGAGATATCAGAAGTCTGGCGACATATCAGTGACAGTGTGATTCCAAGAAATATAATTAGAGTACTCTGCAATAGAAAAACAACCTATGGAGGCATGCAAAGACATTTGACCCTCCGGTAGAGTTGTGTATGGCCCCCACATCCTGCAGGGCTTGAGGAAAATAACTAAAAAATTCCAAAGCGTAAAATTGCATACTCGGTCTTATTTGTAAAAAGGCATAAAACACGCCAGACATACTTAAAACAGCTTTGGAAAATGAGGATTACGGGTAACTCACTGCACCTGTGTTATATTTGGTTCATCAACTTTTGGTAGTACTATAGAAGAAATTCCGGAAGAGGTATAATCATCATTCATGATAAAATACTATCATATATTTTTTGGACAACTTCAATCTAGACCAGGGATCTCAAACTCGCGGCCCCAGAGAACTAACTTCCAGTGCGGCCTTCGAACGCTTAACAATAATTGTAATAGTATTTTGGAAGTTTTTTTTATCTAAATGTAATAGATTTTTCAAACCTTTCAAAGTGAAATTGATTATTTACACAGAAAACAATTTACTGAAAGTAGTTTTGGAATATTAATTTTTTTTGTCCACATTTTGACCCAATTAAGAATACACATCAAGCTTGCAAAAGAATACTTGAATAAAACACTTGAGTGATTAAATTAAACGCAAAGTACATGAAGAAGGTGGCATTTTCGAAGAAAATGGGAGTTGTAACAAACGGCTTTTCACAAAATTCTGAAGCACATTGTTTAATTTGTCATATTTCCATCAATACAATGAAAAAAACACAATAAACTCAGCAGTCAGTATGACAAATTCGAAGACCAACTTCGAACAGAAAATTTCCATGTGTTTGTATATTAATATAATTATACAACGACTTAGTTACTAAAAATCAATATCAATAATAATTCAAGCAATCCTATGCCACGCAATGTGGTGCGAAATGTCTTGTCGAAAAAATCTGTCATTTGTTTTTTTACTGATCTATACATGAAATGATAAAAGTAACTTTTTTGCATTACTTGAATTAATAAGACATTGACAGCTATGAACATTTGTTCTTTTCTTTGTCTTGAACTTTTCATACTCCACAGCCCCTATTAATTTTTTTTAATTTTAATTACCATGTGATGGTCATACATATCTTTAACTTGTATTTTATGTCATGATGTATTATCTCAATGTGCCAAACTATTAATTAGTGTACATATTTTGCTTCCAGATGACATAAATGTATTGTCTTGTTTATTACCTCAGCTTGGAGTATTGACAAGAAAAAGGTGCCAGTAAATTAGATAAAAAAATGTTTAACTCTTTGCTATAATCAGAATTCACAATCAATAGGAATTATAAACAGCCAACAATCAATGAGAATTATATGCGAAATCCCTCATAATAAATTTGTCTAAAATCGGAGGAAGGCAAAAAAGATAGGTAGTTTCCATCCACACAAGCATTTCAAGAAGACTTGCTCGGGCCAACTAAATGAGCATCGTCCGGTGGTCGGTAAGGCTGCTGGTTGAATTCAGCCCTGCAACCTCCCGCATAGAAGATAATATTAATCAGTGGGCTATGAGCTAAATTCCTAAATTTAAACAAACCTATCTACGATGCATTATGTACCAGCAATGTTACCTACGATTAACTGAATATGTAATATGTATAATAAATTCACCTACAAAAGCAAGTTCGATAGGTGCAAACTTTGTGTTATGGAATTGTATCACAGCACAGTTTTGTATGACACCCTCTTTAAATGAAATTTCAATGATTAAGCGCAAACATTAAAATTACTAACTTTGAACTTTGTCATTATCTGCAAAATGTTCCACGCAAATCTTTCCGCTATCGCGTTTGTAATCTTCTCTTATAAAAATAAACGTCTATGATGTCCAAAATTGCTCTTTACAGCTTGCCTGCCATTCCAGCTTTCCAAGTGAGCAAAACTTCTTAGATATAGAGATTATTTTGTTTCGTTACAGGCGCAAAAAGACAGGTACTACACGTAAAAAAGACGCCGAGTAGCAAAAGCGAGCGGAAAACGGACGCGAAAGGCACGAGAAATATGTGCATTGGAGCGTATCATGAAATACAATCTTTCGCCTGTAGTCTTATGGAGTGACGTCAGAGTTGCCTATCATGTTGTTTAAAGTCATTGGTGACGCTTAAACGTGGTTGTGATTTCATAATCGTAAAGGAATTGAAACACACAATCTGTTTCTGACGTTAAGAGTTTTATGTTTCGAAACTACCAGCCAGTTTGATCGTAATACAGGGGGAAATAAGGGTGTAAGCGAATACGAAAACATGTTTTTGGCAGCATGAACGAAATG